GGAGACTAAGGCCCAGAGGCCCATGTGCTGTCTAGAACTTTGGCCCCAGATTCCTGGTCTCCCTATCTCAGAATGGGACCCACAGAATACATAGCTCAGAAGAGAAAGCAATGGGGGCCCAACACGGGACATACAGCCTTGCTGCCTATGTGAGGAGAAGGGGGGGGATTCAACACCCTCCCCCAGCAGGATGGGCTGTAAAAATTAAAGCACTGAGCCCTGGCCGGTTTGGCTCAGCGGTTAGAGCGTCGGCCTGCGGTCCTGAGAGACCCGGGTTCGGTTCCCGCTAAGGGCATGTACCTCGGTTGCAGTTTGTCCCCGGCCCTGGTCGGTTGTGCGGGTGGCAGCCACTCGATGTGTTCCTTTCACATCGATGTTTCTCTCTCTCAGAGTTCCTCTCTCTCCCTCCCACTCTACCTGAACAAAAAATGGAAAGATGTCCTCTGGTGAGGATAAAAACAAAAAACAAAAACAAAAAAATTAAAGCACTGAAAGAGAGCCTACTGACCCACCCTGAGTTAGTTACTTAATCCTCCAAAAACCCTATGAGATTTTATCGCTGATCTCTGTCTGACAGAGGAGGAAATAGGGTGAGCAGGGTTACACAGCTTCCAGGAGGTAGAGCAAGGAGTTGAGCTCAGATCTGTCTGAATTTGGTCAGAGAAAAAACCTCCAACCTTTCCTTGGGCAGGACAAATAACGCCCTGAAAATGAACAGATAGGTTAGAAGGATGGCTTAGAGGAAGCCTGCCCAGAGCTTGGCCCTCCTGCTCTGGAAAGCACAAGTTACACTTGTGCCCACTCCTTGCTTGTCTGCCATACCCCTCTAGTTGCTGGGGCCACGGCAACTGGAGAAGCCAGCAGCCCTAGGGAGGGTAGAAGCCCCAAGCAAAGAACTCTGCCCCAACCCTGCCTCTTCCATAAATGCTTCTTGATTTTCATGGCCCTTCCCCTCCAGGAAGCCCCCTGCTGTTACAGCTTACACAGATCCCCAGCTTCTGAGCTCCCACCAGATCTGCCAGGAAGTTGGAACCAGAGGCCTCCCCTAATTGACTCCTCTCTGAGTCTGGTCTCTCCTACTGGCAAGCAGGGGAGCTCTCAGGGTTCCTTCTTCATTTTCCTCTCCAGTCTCCCTGAAGTATGGACAGCACAGGCCACAGATGCCTGGGTCTGGGTGAGGACCAGGTGCTGGGCAGGACTGAGAAGCAACAGCCAGGGTGAGCAGGTGTCAGAATGACAACCAGGTTTTCACCCACCCACAAAGCTTCCAACTGTGTGGAGAGCAGGACAGGCAGAGGGGGCATCAGGCAGCCTTTCTTCTGCTTGCTCCTACAACTCTGGGCCCAGACCACGGAAGGGTGGGGGTGGGTAGAGGTGGAGGGAAGCTGCGGTTGGAGGCCCAGCCCCACCAGGATGTACACAGCTAGTGTGTGATGAGAAGCTGCTCTCATCATAGTACCTCAAAACCAGGAAGAGAAACTGAGCAGGCAGAAAGGGTGAAATGGGCTGTGTGTAGCCCTCAGGTCCCTGGGGGCCTGCCCAGGGGAGCTCCCGGAAAGTAACTGGACAGACCACTTCTCCCTCCTGGGCCTCAGCTTTCCCAAGGGAAGAATGGGATTCTCTCCCAGGTCCCACTAGTCTGCCGAATTGGTTCAGGCTGCATCCTACTGGATAAGAGACCTCACAATTGCTGGAGCAGTCCTGATATCCCAGTGGGCTTTGGCCTCTACTAGGAAGCAAAGGTTTGGTGCTCCAAAGCCAGCCTTGCCTTGCTTTCTTCTCTCCTCAGCCATGCAGGGAGCACACTAGCTCTCCTTTCACCAGCTCTTTATTTTTAGGGTTGAATTGACTTTAATCATTACTTAGCAGATTCTATTTCCAGCCCTTGGATGAAGAGACCCAGAGGAGAAGAGGAAGGGAGGCAGTGCTCCCTGCCTGGTTTGGGAGGGGTGGCCTGCTCCTCCACCCATCCTGCCTAACCAAGGAGTGAGGGCTGATTAACATCCATCGGGCTTACCCTAGCTGGTCCAGCATCTTGTAGAAGACCCCACCCTGTGACCTCATCTTAGCCCAAGCTGTGCTACAGGAGGGCAGCTATAATACCCACTTCCCCTGCACCAAGTGCAGGGAGGAGGGAGACACTGCACAGCCAGAGTATGGCAGCCAGAGTCCAAGGTCACATGCGTGGGGGACCTCTGCAATGAATGGGCCATTTTGGGAGGATCCTCTGCCTAGGTTAGTCCTGGGCCATCCTAGGATCATCTGGGACAATGGTCTCCTAGGCTCGGGAGTGACGAGCTGAGACTGGTGTCCTCCTACTGTCCACGGGGTGGCTCCAAGAAGGCACTCTCAATTCTCTGGTCTCCAAAGAAGCAGAAGAGGAAGCAAGCAGTATCACAGCAGTACACACTCAAGTTAGACCTGGGGAATACCTGTGGAAGGGGAGGGTGCTAACACCTAAGACTTCCCCAGGGATTTGTAGACCATCTATGTTCTCTTTCAACTCCCTGCAGGGAGGCTCTAAAACCCCCGCCTCCCCCACAGCCTTCTTCCCTCCCCTGGCCACTAGGAAGATGATGTTGGCATGGCTGTCCCTGGGTTGGGGCTCAGAATGCCTGGGTTCCTTGCTCAAGTCTCAGTTTTGCCAGGGAAAGCAGGCCTCTATGTCTCCACTGAAGAAATGCAAGGCTGGCCTAGGAAGTAGCTGAAGCTAGGGGACAGGAGGCAGCTGAGCTATTAGAGAAGAGGCCTTGCCCTGGCCGGTCTGACTCAGCGGTTAGAGCGTTGGCCCTCGGACCAAAGAATCTCGGGTTCGGTTCCGGTCAAGGGCATGTACCTCGGTTGCAGTTCTGTCCCCGGCGCTGGTCAGGGTTGTGCAGGAGGCAACCAATTGATGTCTCTCTCTCTCTCTCTCTCTCTCTCTCTTTCTCTCTCTCTCTCTCTCTCTCTTCCTCTCCCTCCCACTCTATCTGAAGATAAATGGAAAAACATCTTTGGGCAAGGATTTAAAAAAAAAAAGAAGAGGTCTCATCCACTCAGCTCTGATGCTGGGAGAAGAAAAGAATGGGTAGGGTCAGGTTCCAGAAACCAGCCAATAGCCCATCTTCCTAGAGCCAGGCCTGTGATGGGGGCTGGCTAACCACAGGGTGAGGGGGAGGCAGGGAGGCAGGCCAGGTCATTGGCCAGAGTAGCCCAGCACCTCAAGGTTAGAGGGTTTCAGAGGGCCCCTAGGCAGAGACCAGCCCTTGGCTGGGTGAGCCATCAGCCAAGCCTGTCCCAGGTGTCTTCCCCACATACTGAGGCAGCCTATGGTGGGCACTCCATCAACAGTGCCAACCCCTCCTGACAAAGTGCCTGTGGTTAGTTCACACTGTCCACACACTTCCCCCTGAAGCAGGTATCACTATGCCTGGGGTGTATATAAAGGAACTCTGGCTCAGAGGGTGACCTGTTCAAGGTCCCTCCACTGGTCCTAAATGGCATGGGTGAGCCTGGAAACTATGTTGATTGGGAGCCAAATTGCCAGCTCTCTCCAATATTCTTGGCTGCTTTGGGGTCCTGTAGCAACCACCACTGCAGCAACAGGTGGGTAACAACAGTGCACACACTTAGTAAGAAGGTCTGGGTGAGGTTTCTGTGGCAGCTATTTGGAAAATTCTATAGCTTTTCAGAGACAAAGATATACAGACCGTGTGCCAATATGAGAAAATGCCCACAGACACAGTATTGAGTGAAGAAAGGTGTCATGGCATGTACACTCAAATGACAACAATGACAAAGGAAAAAATAAAACCCAGGAAAGACTGGCAGAGAACTCCAAAATGCTACAGTCATTGTATCAGTAAAGTTATAGTGAGTGATTTTTGTTTTGTTTTCTAAATTTCCTATAGTGCTATTTTACTACTTTCTAAACTAATACATACATACATAAATAGTTTTCTCATGAGCTCAAATTTGCTTTCCAGCTACCCCTAGCTCTGGCCCTTGTGTCTGGTACATCTTTTACCATGGAACAACCTTTCCATTAAAGGGCAGACATGTTAAGGTCTTTCCCTACTGTGTCATCTCCAGACCAAACACCTCTTCCTTGGGGACTATGTATCAAGGCTTTGAAATTCCTCAAAAGATGAAACCCACACTGGACACAGGTTGTCCTGCCGGATCAGGCCACCTGGAGGCTTGTTAGGGCAGCTGCATCCCACTGTGGATCGTTGGCCAACCTCTTGGGGCCTGGTTTCCCTGCAGTGGTGCTGGGGACCATTTTCTGGTCTGTCCTTGCCCCTAACCCAACTCAGAGAGAAAAGGAACCACTTCTGAGAGGGAAGAAGGCACTAAGCTCTCCAGATAAAAAACACATCCCTGTACACATGTTAGCCTGAAGCCAGACTCTTTTCTATAAAGGCCTCAGGACCCCGGCCACACCAGTACAGGTCACAGTTGATTGGTATAAAAGTGCCCAACCATGTCAGGCCTCAGCTCCAGCCTGTCAGGCTGGAAAGGAAGTTAGGGCTGGGTAACATGAGTCCTCACAGGCCCACCACAAATGGGTCCGCTCCATTGTGCATGTCAGGATGACCAGGAAAAAAAAAACTTTACATCAAAAGTGGAGAGGCCTGAGCAAGGCCCCAGACATGGCTCAGCATCCTCCAGGGAACCTCCCACCCTTTTCAGGAGCAAGAGGATCCTGCCACATTTCCAATCTCCCTCCTGCCGCCTTCCTGCAGAGGTCCTACCAAGAAAGACACTGAAACCCCCATGGTATGAGGAGCCTGGAACAGGCCCTTGTGTACCCCTGACAATGCTCCCAAGCCAAAGCTGTAGGGTGCTCCCTGTGGAAACAGGGCTCTCATCTTCCCCATCTGGATCCGATTCACATTCTGAACTTGGTTGCTCCTATGCTAGCTAGGACAAAGGCGTGGGAGGGCTAGGTGGGGACTGACCATCAAGTTGTTTCAGCTCAGCTCTAGGGCCACACCAGACAGGTGCCCCCACACACTCACCAAATCCCCATCAGTGGGACTCAGCCTCAGGTACCAGGGGGGAAATCCCATGGGCAATGCAGAGTTGTCTCAGCCCATACCCAGCAGAGCTGGGGCCGGAAGTCCTCTCCCTCCTCTCCAGCCCTCTGTAGGGGAGCACATGCTCACTTCACAGGGTCCCATGAGCCAGGCTAGGAGTCTATGTCCCTGGTGGATGAAGGTGCCTTTTTGGTTGCCCTCCACCAACAGAAACCCACCACCTGAAAAGTGGGGGATGCAAAGATAGATGGCAAAACTCTGCCAGAGGCCTGGGACAGCAACTTCCCACTTTGAGCCTCAGTTCCCAGGTCTACAAAACGGGGGAGAGGTCAACCCCTAGTTAAGCTCCAAGAATCTAGTGGCTGGACACGCCCCTTCCTGACACCTGGCCTTGGCCCTGAGAAGCCTAAGAGACTGGGCTGACCAAACTGTTAGCAGGTGGGGACATGGTCCTAATTGCCCAGTGTTACCTCCAACTAGGACAGAGGCCCTGCCCAGTGTCCCCACCCAAAGGACAGAGGTCCCTTGGCTTAGCCCTGATCTGGGAGGCCAAGGGTGACAGGCTCGACCTCTGGGCCCTGGGCTTCCTGTATCCGGCAGGGCCTCTGTGAGGGAGTGAGGGAGGGGTCAGAACCAGGCAGGCCAGGGAACTTGCAGGGAGGCCCAGGACAGGGAATAGCAAACTGCCTTTTCTCCAGGGCCCCTCCCTCCGGGCTCCAGCCAGCTCCCAGAGGATGCTGAAACAGGGGGACAGAATTGGACTGGCCTGAGACAAGTCTGTGGGGCTCATAAGACAGTATCTCCCTTCTGTGCTCCCCTCCCAGTCGGGCTGACAGTGACTCCCGGGAGAATTCGAACCCAGGAAGGAAGGGGTAAGGGAGGTGGGGGATGGGAGTGGACGCGACGGCAGCTGCAACAGAAGCCGACTGGGAGACCTCTACCCTCTTCCCCCAGGGTACTCGTGCGCCCACCTCCTCCGGGCCTGCCAGGCACTCACCTCTCTCGCGAAACTGTGGTCCGAGCCACCTCGCCACGGGCAGCATCAGCGGCCTGCGGGGCGGTCCATGCGGCCAAGGGAGAGGGGAGGGGAGCAGGAGGTCCCCGAGGGGTGAGGTACAAAGAGGTATAGGTGCGGGGAGAGAGTAAGGAGGGGCGGCCAGATGGAGGCAGGGGGCCGACCGCGCAGCCGGGGTCGGGAAGGGAAGAAAGACCAGGGAAGGGGGCGGGAGGGAATCGGGGAAGGAAACAATGTAGCCGGCGCGGCCCCGGCAGAGTTCCGCTTCCGAACGCCGCCACCAAGGTTCGATTTTGGAGCGTCGCGCCGGGGGCCGCCCCGGACGTTGGATCGGGGGCCGTGGGGGCTCCCCGCGCTCCACGCCGTGGAGGCTCCGGCGGCCACGGGCTGGCTGGCGCGAAGGAACTACTGGCCGGGGGACGGCCCCGACGGCGGCGTGGCCGGGCGGTCGCCCCGCTGGGACCCCACCCCGGCAGGACCCTCGGGCAGGGTGCAGGGTGAGGAGGGCGCGGGAAGGCGGTGGCAGGCGCGGTGGCAGGCCCGGCGGCGGCGGCCAAACTCGGCTCGCCCAAGGCTTTGCTGGGAGGAAGCTCGCAGGCCTTGCTAGAGGAAGCGCGGCCCGGATCCTCCGCCCGCGGCAGCGCGCCTGCGCGAGGGAGCCCGCCGGGCGTGCGGCGGGGCGTGGGCCGGCGGGGCTGCGCCCCCTGTGGGGCGCCGGGGGCATTGCGGGAGGTGTGTCCGCGCTCACGCCCTGCCCCCACCTGCCAGCCTGAGGTGAGGGCTTCTCGCAGTGGGCCGACCAGGCCGCCTTGGAGCCACCTATAGCCTTTGGGCGAAGCTCCCCCAGTGTAGAAGCGACTGGGCCAGGCCTAGCCCCTCCCCTCTGATCTGCTTGTGGAGCCTGGGCCTCACTCTTAGGACTAAGCATTTATTCATTCATTCCCAGACATTTAATGGCGCCGACGCCGTGACAGGCCCAGTTCTGGAGTCTACTAGTGAGACCACTTCATGAATGTCAAGTTCTCAGTAGTAAAACTGGCCAACCGACAAGCTCAAAGAAATAGTTGATAGAAGTGGAGAGGTGGTGTACCAGGTCCACAGAAAGCAGAAAAGAGGGAGAGGGCTAATAGGGAGACTTCATAGAGCTGGAACTCCAGGCAGAGGGAACGGCATGGACAGAGGCAAGGAGAGATGAGAGAGCTTGTTGGTTTTGGGAACTGTAAATAGCTCAGTATGGCTTCGGTTTGCAGTGTGGGCCCAGGAGAGTGGTGGGAGCTGGGGATCTCTGGAAGCCACAGGGACTAGAGAGATCCAAAGAGCCTTGTGGGAACTATTTTTTAGCTGTTTTTAGCCTGGAGGTAATGAAGAAGTTGTCGATAGTTGTGTGACTTTGGGAAAGTTCCTTAACCTCTCTGTGCTTTAGATCCCCATTTGGTAAAATGAGGTAAATACTAGCACCAACGTTTTAAGATTATGTAGGGTAGGAAGTGAGTAAATACATTTAAAATGCTTAGTGTGCTGTGGTGGCACATGACCAGCCCTCAATATTGCCTGTTATTATATGTCATTATTAACAAGGAATACAGAGGTGATCTGCTTTGAGCTAAAGGAGCAGGGTGTGTGTGTGGGACACAGAGTGAGGGGGCAGTGATAAGGGAGAGACCAGAGACTCCAGTGTAGGTAGGAGGTGTCAAGGCACTTCCTAGGAACTGGGTCCTGACGGAAGGGTCAGAGTTGGGTGGGCAGAGAGTAGAGGCATTCTCAAGTGGGGGAAATGAGGTGTATTGACAGTCTTGAAATTCAAAATTAATGAGGGACTGAGGGAGTGAGGTGAATAGTAAAGGGCCCTGTGGGAGAGTGAGCTGGGGGGACAGTGTGGCTGCAGATTGTAAAAAGTCTTATATGCCAGGAGCAGGAATTGGGTGTGCCTCCCCAGACAAACCACAGGTTGGCCCTTTGACCCAATGCATCCCTGGGCTAGCTTCCCAGTAAGGGGCTAGCCCTTCAAAGGGGGAAGAAGTAGTCACACCCCTGCTCTTTGAGGGCCATCCAGTAAATCTCAGAGATAGCTATGGAGGGTGTAGAGAAGAAAAGCATGAATTTGGGGTTCAAATCTTTTTTTTTATTTTTTATCCTCACCCGAGGATATTTTTCCATTTTTTGTACAGATAGAGTGGGAGGGAGAGAGACAGAGAAACATCGACGTGAAGGGACACATCGAGTGGCTGCCACCCACACGACCAACCAGGGCCGGGGACAAACTGCAACCGAAGTACGTGCCCTTAGCGGGAACCGAACCCGGGTCTCTCTGGACCGCAGGCCGACACTCTAACCGCTGAGCCAAACTGGCCAGGGCTGGGGTTCAAATCTTAAAGTTAAATCTCAGCTGTTCCATTTACTAGCTGTTCTACCTTGGGCTAATTACTTAAGGTTCTGAGGTTAGTTTCCTCTTGTATAAAATCCTGCTCAAAATATACCTCTCTCATGAGAGACAGTGCAGATTTAGCAAGATAACAGCCTGAGGGTGAGGGGAGTAGAGAGGGTGCTCAGCTCCTTTGGTTTCCCTTTCTTTCCTCTGAGGTCAAGATGGAATGATAAAGTGGGGGCTGATGGGGCCACCTCTCAGCTTAAAGGAAAGCATTTCATCAGCTGCAAGGGAGAAGTTGACATTTCTCCTACCTGGCTGAATCAGCTAGTAAAACAGGAAAGGACTGTGGGAATTTGGGGAAAATGGTCTTATCCTTGTTCTAATTTTGTTACCAACCCATCTATCCTTCACCTCAAATACATTTGACTGCTGCCTTGAGTTTATGTGGCCCAGAATATGAACTTTGGAGTCAAATAGACTTGTATTTGCATACTGGCTCTACCACTTCACAGCAGAGTGAAATAAATTTTAAACTTCCCTGAACCCCAGGCACAGAGGACAAACCAATAAAGGGCCCTGTCCCACAGAACTATCCTTTAGTAGAAGAGCCAATTAACTTCCAACCTCCACATTCATTTGCTCATTCAACAAATACTTTCTGAGCACCTACTAAGTGTTAGGCACTGTTTTGGATGCTGGAGATTAAGAAGTGAGCAAAGAGTGAGCATGGGTCTTGCTTAAAAGGATAAATCAATAAATAGGGCAATTAGAAACTGTGGTATGAAGATGATGAGTATGTGATGGAGGAGAGTGGACTGGGGAGACATAAACAGAGGGCTTAACACCCTGAGGGACAATCAGAAGGCTAGGATGACAAGACCAGCAAGTGCGGGGAGTACTATGAGAGGAAGGGACCAGATTATGTAGAGTGCTATGGACCAGGGATTTTATTACATGAGTGGGTTTTATTATATGAGCAATGGGGAGCCATTGAAGGATTTTAAGCAGGGAAATGACATGACTGAGTGAAGGTCAAGAGACCAGTGGGGATGCTTTGCATAAACCCACCAGTGGTAATGAGAGTGGGCTCCAGTGGACAAAGGGGAGCTATGTGACTGTTCTTGGTGAGGGGCTGTTTGTGGGGAGTGAGCCCACAGGAGAAAGCAGGCCTGGTCCTCAGGTGTGGCTGGGGTACTGAGAGGAAGTATGGTGCTCTTTGCTGATGTGAGAGGGCCCGGGAGAGGTGCAAGCTGGGAGCAGTGCTCAGGAACTGGATTTTAGACAAGCTGAGTTGAAGATGCCTACCAGACATGGAGATGTCAAGTTAGTGTTTGGAGCCATCTTTTATAGGCCAAGCTTAGAATAGAAAGAACTTTCCTAGAGTTCACTCCCAGGACTAAGGTTTAGATCTCAGGACCTCCAAAGCCTGGAGCATTGTTTTCCCCATGCAATGGACTTTAGGGAAAGAAATCATTACAGTAGGGGCCTTGGGTTTTAGGACTTGGGAGGATATTAAACAGGAGCCCCTTCCAGCCAGGTAGGCTCAAGCACTAGCTTTCTCAAGTTGGGCTACCTGTCTGGCATGAGGGAAAGAAGAAAAGAGAGGCTGGAGACCCCTGGATGTGGGGAACAGAGCTCAGGACGTTGGGCTACATTTTGATGATATGATTCAACAGGGCTAGCTGGATGCAAAGTTGGGTTGGTTGTTGATGGTCAGAGGTCCCGAGCTTAAGCACCTTTATGGGTGGGCTGTGCTCTGCTCCTAGTGTCTCCTGGAAAGGGAAAGGCCTCTCTAACCCCCTTCCTACCTCCTCCCCTCCCCCAGCCTCTTGGCTTTGAGATGACAGTTTAGAGAAGCTGGTGTGTGAAATAGTTTGAAACTCAGTCCCGTCTGGGCGTCCCCCAGGGCAGAAAACAGGAAGCCAAGATTAAAGGCAGATTTCCAGCAAAGTCCCCTCGACTTCCTGCAGAGCAGGTGCCCAGGCTGAGCTGACTGTGAGAAGCTTCCCTTGCTGACAGCACCTGGGGTGCCCTGCACGGCCGGCCCTCCTGCTATGGGAGCTATTCTTTGACCCTATCACCTCCCCCATCAGGGAGCTCTACCAAGCCCTTGGGGAATGAGCCTCCTGTAGAAAAAGACAGTGGGAGGTAGAAGGAGTAGTCACTGGGAAAGAGGCCTAGTGGTGGCACCCACCGGAAACAGCTCTGGGGACACCTGGGGACAGAGAGACCAAGCAGAAAGGACATGGACTTTGAGGTCACTCAGACTCAGTGTGAATGCCAGTTCCCTGCTTCAGGGTCTCACTGACCTGTGGGTCAAGGGGCAGAAGCAGCACAAACAGGGGCTTAAGGAAAGTGGCCAGGGAAACTGGACCAATGCCCAGGGTTGAGTGTCCCTAGGGAAGGCCAGAAACCAGGAGACAGCAATTGCTCATAGTGGCCTTTGCCATCTGAATGCCAGGGGCTGCTTGGCTGGACCCATGGATGGATCTACAGCTGCTAAAGGC